AGGTGATTGTGTAATGAAGTGAGTCTCTGAGAGGGGCCTTGGAAGGGGTGAGTGTATTTTGCACGTGGAAGGGACGTGAATCACTGGGATGTGGGGACAAAGGGAAGACTGTGGTGGACAGCCATTATGATGTCTCTCAAAGTTCCCCACCTCATCTTATTCAAACTATTTTGTAATCCCCTCCCCTTGAAGGTAGGCTAAACCTAGTGATTCCTAATTAACCAAATACAAAGATGAGGGGATATCACTTCTAATATTAGGTTACAAAAGGACTTCATCTTCTATCTTGGGCATCCTCTCCTGCTCACTCACTTTCAAGGAAGCCACTTGCCATATTGTAAGCTGCCCTACAGAGAGGCCCACATGGAAAGGAACAAACATGTCCAGCCAAAGCCTGTGGGGAACTGAGTGCTGCCCACTTACTTGAGCTTGAAAGCTGATTATCCTCTTAACGAAATCTTCAGATGACTGCAGCACTGGCCAACAGCTAGACTGTAGCCTTCTGAGAGACCTTAAGCCACAGCCACCCAACTAAGCTGTGCCTGGATTCCTTACCCAAAGAAATTGAGGTAATGAACATCTATCTGTTTTCAGCCACTAAGCTTTGGGGATAATTTGTTATAACAACAGGCAATTAAGACACCATCACAGTTCCTACTCTATGACTCAGTGAGGGAAAATAGGAATTCTATCATTAGTCAAAGGTATTATATTGATTAGAATTATAGTAGCTGCTATTACAATTGAAATCCAAATATTACCTTAACACAGTATAAGTTTATTTCTCACTCATATAATAATCCATTGCTGGTGTTCCTCGATGACTAGGGAGCTTTCCTCCAAATAGTGATTTAGGGACACAGAGTTCTATCTTTCAGCTTTGCCATTCCATATGATTAAGATGATTCTTCCGTCTGGACAGAACATCCTTTTCTTAAAAACCAAGCCCCAAGTGGCATATTGCTTCTATTCACACCACACTGAAGAAAATTCATCTGATAGACAAAACTGGAAGCAAAGGTGCCTGGGCAGACACATCCCAGGATCAATTCCAGACAATAGAAAAGACACAAACTTTTGGTGTCATCTGATCACATCTCACATCATAGATATCATTAACAAATGCACACCCAGGACCTGGGAAAATAGCCACAGTGTGCATTTGTGGTCTCAATAGACCTTGTTCTAAGCTACACTTATATAAGAATTCTTCCATAAGCCCTCACTCTGCATAAATACAAGTCGTCTTCGAATTCCCACGGAATTGTTCATAGAAATTTTACAGTCATTCAGGAGTACGCAGTCCCCTGCCACTGATTTAAGTCAGTGTGAGATTTGGATGCCATGCCATGGAGTGTTTTTAATTAAAATAAAACCTTAGTGCACTTTCAATGCTGGGGATCAATTATTAATTACAGTGGAAATATCAGAAATCAGAACACTCTTAGAGTTGAGGTTTGTTACAACCTTTTTACTTTCTTCTCATAGTTAATGATTGCCCCATAATCCAGCCTCTACAAATGCCACAGTTCTACAGAAATCGGATACCCTTTTCAAATGTAATCACTCATGAAAACTCTCCACCCTAAAGGAGGAGATAGAGGGATATTTTTCAGTGCTGCTTTCATGTCAAAGGAATATGGAAAGGCTCTTGGGCCCTGACAGGGGAACTTGCAGATGAGTGAAGGGCATGGACATAAATGATCCAATCCAGCATTATGAACTTCTGAATTTTTTCAGTCCATATATATTATGCAAAGTAATTTCTAATCCTCAAAATGCACTTCCGACAATGTTCCCTAGATTTTTGATGTTATAACAATAATGAAGGAAATTAAATATTTCTGGGTGAGATTAATCTCCTTCCTAACTTCCTGTATTTCAAACTACAGGTCATATTAAGCTCTGATTTTGGTTACCAGCCAAGCAATAATGGTGACCATGTGAGAAAAGGGACAATCAAGTTTTCAGTCACAGGCTGGGTATGGTGTCTCACACCTGTAATCCCACCACTTCAGAAGGCCGAGGCAGGCAGATCACTTGAGCCCAGGAGTTCAAGACCAGCCTGGGCAACATGGCACAACCATCTATCCACAAAAAATTTAAGAATTCTGGGTGTGGTGGCACACGCCTATAGTCCCAGCTACTCCAAGAGGCCGAGGTAGGAGGAACCCTGGAGCCCAGGAGATCAAGGCAGCAGCAAGCCATGATTACATCACTGCCCTCCAGCTTGGGGGATAGCAAGACCCTGAGAAAGAAAAATAAAGAAAAGAAAAGAGAGAAAAGAAGAGAGAGAGGGAAGGGAGGGAGGGAAGGAAGGAGGGAGAGAGAAGTTTCCAGTCACAAGGGAAGCATGGAAAGTAGAATCAGTGGGGAGGTTGCTTAAGGGTTAAGAGGGAGAGTCAAGAGAGGGTCGATGTTTTCTAAGATCCTTGAATCCTTCTTGTTAGTCTCATCCCAATAATCCAAATTCCAATATTTCCCTCATTGCTTAACAGAAGTGACAAGGTTGTGAATTCAGTAAGCATCATCATTGAGCAAATAACTGCATCTACTGCTGCCTTTGATTTTTAGCAAATGCAGTCCCATGCTTAGAAGGAGTATGAGATTCTTGCCAACACATACAGGTAATGATTCAATTCCTTAAGGCCAGAATTTCAAGTAGCCTTGAAATTGTAATTACCCAATTTCATTATAAATAGGTATCATATATACTTTTGGGAGTAGTATTCCTCAATACCTTTGTTTTTGGTAGGAGCTATCCAGCCCCTAGTACACAATGGGCTTAGAATTTTGCTATGTCATGAATATCCTTTCACAGCACAAAATAGGATTAGGAATTTACCTGTGCTTTGATCTGTCTCACTCGACATCCATCTTGAACACTCTGCTTCTCTACAGCCTAGTAATCATTCTGTAGTATAAATTTCTGTATTGGCTAGCTCTCTCTGTTTGAGAACCAAAGAACTTGACTCTAACTTAAAATTAGAAATATTAGAATACCAGGTAGTTCACAGATTCAAAGAACTGAACTCCAATCCAGGATGTGAGAAAGCAGGAATCATCCCAATGGATCTCAGTGACAGGTGGAGGAATCCTTAGGTTGCTGCCGAAGGATGACTTAATTCAAACGAATTCCAGCCTAGGAGTCATATCCCACAAACTTCACAGCAGTTACAAAAATGTCCCACCAATCAAAATGGATATTGACTAAAACAGAACATCCATTTTGGCCATACTGGTTCATAAAGCTGAATATTGGCCCTGAATACAGAGAATGAATCTGGTTGGCTTAGTTGGAACATATGTCACTGACAGTTCACCAGAACAATACAGAATGAAGAAAGGGAAAGGGCCCACAAAATGCTAGGAAAAGTCTGTGTGTTAAAGATAAAACCAGATTTCAACATATATACTGAGGCTGTGCATGTGTATGTATGTTCATACACACATATATATTCAGTATTAATTTTGACTCTATGACTAGATCATTTTACATGTAAGGTTCTGTAAACCACATATTTCATTAAATATGTTGTAGATGCCATTCCACAGAAGTATATGTAGAGCTTAACTGCTTTCTACTAACTGCACAACACAGTACTGAATAACTACAGTTTAATCAATCCACTTGGCAGGGCACTGAATTCCTATTTGTCATAATTAAGACAGTTCTACAAGAAAACATTATTTATATCTACCTATCTATTCCAATGGAATAAACTTCCTAGATCTGGAATTACTGTTTGAAAAAACCTCACATTTATAATGTTGGTAGGTCATGCTATCCAAGGAGATAGGAGATGAAGTGACACTGCTAATAATGATCAAGGACCTGCTTTCCCACAGTAACACCATTCCTGGATATTATCCAAATTTTGTATTGTAATCTACCTACGAGCCAGGAAAATGTGGTTTCATTAATATTCTTCTGATTAATGAGGTTAAGAATTTCACGGATTTTCTTTATTCATTTGGATTCTTCAGGGTGATTTGCCTACGAGTGTGTATAGCCAGTTGTTCCCCACTGCTCTGTATATGTAACAGCATTCTGTTGTTTTCTCTAAATTGCATACATTTGCCTTCAATTGTCTTTTACAAGTTTTTGGTGCCTTTCACCATGCTGAAGTTTTAGATCGTTGCATAGCCCAACTTGTTCTCGATTTCTTTATGGTTTGTAGGACTCTATGTCCTACTTGATAAAAGGTTCCCTTTTTCTACATTTGCCTCTAACATGTTATTTTATGATTAGATATGTCAAATACGATAGGCATATTTCTCTATAAGGTGTAAATGTGCTTCTAACTTTTTTCTTGGAGAGGGTGGATAAAATTGTCAAAACATCATTTCCCCGACATTGAAATAATACTGCTATTATATACCAAAATCTCATATGCAAAGAAATCTATTTCAAAAATTTTGGGGAAGGCTGAGGCAGGAGAATCACTTGAGGCAAGGAGCCCAAGACCAGCCTGGGCAACAAAACGAGACACAGTCTCTACAAAAAAAAAAATTTTTTTAAGGTTACAGTGAGCTAGGATCTTAGCACTGCACTCCACTCCAGCCTGGATAGAGTGAGGCCTCCATCTCTTAAAAAAAAAAAAAAAAAATTCTTGCCAAGCATGGTGGCTCACACCTGTAATCTCAGCACTTTGGGAGGCCAAGGAGGGTGGATCATGAGGTCAGATCAAGACCAGCCTGGCCAAGGTGGGTGAAACCCCGTCTCTACTAAAAATACAAAAATTAGCCGGGCATGGTGGCGGGTGCCTGTAATCCCAGCTACTCGGAGGCTGAGGCAGAGAACTGCTTGAACCTGGGAGGTGGAGGTTGCAGTGAGCTGAGATTGTGCCACTGGCACTCCAGCCTGGGCAACACAGTGAAACTCCATCTCAAAAAACAAAAAATTCTTGCTATTCTTGCCTAATTACGCTTCCCTGTTACTGTCAAAGTAAATACATCTTACTGGGACTGAATTATAATTTACAAACATTTGAGCAATATTATTTCTTCTAGAAAAATATCATTTCTCCTTTTATTGACATCTTTACTTTTCAATATAGTTTAATAATTTCCTTTCACCTCTATTGATAAATGAGTTCCTTTATCATTTGTTTTCTTGTTTTTGATGTGAGAGTTGTATTACCCTCATAAAATTAGAATCTTTTATACATTTTTCTCTAGAGCAGAGGTTGGCAAACTTCCTGCTAAAGGATAGGGAATATTTGAAGTTTTGCGAGCGATATAGTCTGTCACAGTTGTCTAAAGCAGCCATAGTCAATAGCTAAACAAGTAAGCATGGCTGTCGTTTGATAAAACTCTATTTACAAAAACAAGCAGCAGACAGGATTTGGCCCATGAGCTTTAGTTTGATAACCTCTGCTCCATAGCAGGGATCACACACATTTTCGGTGTAGGATCAGACAGTAGATATTTGGGCTCTGCAGGCCACAAGGTCTTCTGTCACCACTGCTCAACTCTGCTGCTGTAGCCCAGTATAAAGGTCAAGGTATAAATCAATGTGTGGCTGAAGCCAACCAAACTTTATTTACAGACGCCAAATCTTAAATTTCATATAATTTTCATGTTGAAAATATTCTTTTCACTTTTTTCAACCCTTTAAATTTTTTTAAAATTCTAGATCATGGACCATACAAAAACAGTCAGTGAGACTGTAGCCATGAGTCATAGTTTGCTGACCCCTACTCTGGATCAGTTTACCTCACAATGAATGATTCCTTAAAAGTTTTAATATAGTTCATTTATAAATGTGATTTTTAAACAGGTCAAATCTTGCAGTTTTCTAATTCTTGAGTAACATGTCAGTTGTTTTTAACTTTATGCATATAAATCTTGCATTTTTTTCTGATTTTTAAAATTCATTTGTCCCAGGTGGCCTATTCATTCATGGTCCCTAGACTTTCTAAAACAAATCAAGTCAAATGTAAAGTTTAATTTTCTCACCAACAAGGTCACATCACCTTACATTCACACAGGGTCAGATGGAAAGCCACAAAACTAACTTGGCATTATAGAATCAAGTTTTAAACCAACAAAGGCAAAACCTCACCCACTACTGGAGAACGCTGTTCCTGATCTAAACTGTGCTTTTTCCTACCCTCATCCTACTGCATCGTTTTTTAATCAGAGCTGACTACTGTAACTTTTCAATGTTCAAATACAAAGTTTTTAAAAGAGCTAAGTTTACTGAGCACTTAATATGGACCAGACATTGTGCTGAGCACATCTCACGCATTAACCAATTAAAGAAACTACAAGTTTTACAAGAGGAGTGAATAAGTTACATTTACACTCATGTGAAGAACAAACTAATAAGGGACAAAAAGAAAACAAAAGGGCAGGGAGATGAGGTTTTAAACTGCTGGAGTACTCAAACAGAAATGACGTCTTGAGGCTATGGTGATGGGAGGGAGGATGGATTCCAGAGAAATTTGGGAAACAGATCCACAGGATTTGACGTGGAAGGTAAAGAGGGGCATGTTGACAACTCTCCAGTATGAATTCGCTGATGATGAGCTAAGTGTGCAGTTTGCCTGAAGACTTTTCTGCTTTTCTTATAGTTATAAGATCTCTCTCCAGTATGAACCCTCTTATGTTGATTAAGGTGTCCAATTTGGATGAAGGTTTTCCTACATTCCTTACATTCATATGGTTTCTTTCCAGAATGAATTCTCTGATGTACACTAAGGGATTGACGATGACTAAAGGCTTTGCCACACGCACTACATTCATAAGGTTTTTCTCCAGTATGACTTCTGCGATGACAAATAAGGGAGGATTTTGTCTTGAATGCCTTTCCACACTCAATACATTCATAAGGTCTTTGGCCAGTGTGCAGTCTTTGATGTTGAGTACAGGATGAGTTATCACCAAAGGCCTTCCCACATTCTATACATTTATAGGGTTTCTCACCAGTGTGAACTCTCTGATGTTGAATGAGGTGTGTGGTCTGGCTGAAGGCTTTACCGCATTCCTTGCACTCATATGGTTTCTCTCCTGTATGGGTTTTCTGATGCTGTGCAAGGTGAGCCTTCTGGGTGAACGCTTTACTACAAACCTTACATTCATAGGGCTTCTCTCCAGTATGGATTCTCTGATGAGTGGCAAGCTGAGAACTGATGCTGAAGGATTTTCCACACTCCCCACATTCAAAAGGCTTCTCCCCAGTATGAATTCTTAAATGACTGGCAAGGTGTATATTCTGCCTAAAAGCTTTTCCGCACTCTTTACACTTAAAAGGCTTTTCTCCAGAATGTACTCTTTGATGTTGAGTGAGTGATGCATGATGGCTGAAGGCCTTCCTGCAAACATCACATTCATATGGTTTTTCTCCAGTATGAATCCTTTGATGTACAGTAAGGGAGGAACCATACCTGAAGGATTTGTGACATACATCACATTTGTAAGGTTTCTCTCCAGTATGAATTCTCCTGTGTTGATTAAGCCCTATGTGGTCACTGAAGGCTTTCCCACAATCAATGCAATCAAAGGGTTTCTCCCCAGTGTGATAGTATCTCCAGTGACGGATAAGGGATGTGTTCTGGATGAAAGCTTTCCCACACTCAATGCACTCATAGGGCTTCTTGCCAGTGTGACATCTCTGGTGTCGGGCAAAGGACGAGCCATCACTAAAGGCCTTCCCACACTCGTTACATTTATAAGGTTTCTCTCCAGTATGAATTCTCTGATGAACAGTAAGAGATGAGCTCTGGGTAAAAGTTTTCTTACATTCATTACACTTGAAAAGCTTTTTTCCTGCATAGATGCCTGTCTGTTTTATTACCACTGAACTTTTTTGAAAATTTTTAATTGAATCACAATTATGAACTTTCTCTTCTGAATCGTCCAAATGGAACCATCTTCCAGATTTGTTATACGTACGTTCTCTTTCCTTAGAGAGGGTTTTGTTATGAGTAATTGGCTCTTCCCTGAATTGTGTCTCTTGACCTACTGCAAGCTTCCTTCCAAACACACAGTCAGAATCCCAATTTTCTCTGAAACTGGAACACTCAAGTTTAGTGTTTGAGGTTCTGTCTGTTTCTCCTTCAGCATATGAATCTTGCTTTGGAAATAATTCCTGGGTCTCACGTACAGATCGCTGGCCTGAAAGATACCAAGAAAACACACATTTCCTTTTTCATGTGCTAGGAAAAAGAAATCTGCCAAAAGGAAAACTAGTGAATTAATTCACTGATTGGTGAATTCATCAACATACATTTTACACCTCTAAAAACTATTACATTTAGGGCCAGGCACAGTGGCTTATACCAGTAATCCCCATGCTTTGGGAGGCTGAGGTGGATCACTTGAGGCAGATCACTTGAGGCCAGGAGTTCAAGACCAGCCTCCACAACATAGCAAGACCCTATCTCTAAAAAACTTTTTAAAAAATTAGCCAGGCATGGTAGTATGTGCTTGTAGTCCCAGCTACTCAGGAGGTAAAGGCAGGAGGATTGCTTGAGCCTAGGAGGTTGACGTGGCAGTAAACTATGATCAGGCCACTGCACTCCAGCCCGGGCAACAGAGCCAGTCTCTGACTCAAAAAACAATAATAATAATTTTCACATTTTCGTGGCTACTTCCACAAGCCTGAAAACATCCTCAGTTCTCTGGCCATTCCACAATGAAGCCTTGCATTTTCTCTTTTTTGGGCAATAAATATTTTTCCAGCTTTATTGAGGCACAGTTGACAAATAAAAATTGTATATATTTAAGGTATAAAATGTTTTGATATGCTCATACATGGTGAAATGTTTACTACAATCAAGCTAATTAACATATCACCTCACATAATATACTGTCACTGAATTGTACACTTTAAAATGGTTACATTTTATGTGTCCTTTTCTGTAATAAAAATATGTAAATAAAACAAACATGTAAAAAAATGTAAAATAAAACAAACATGTAAAAAATATGTAAAATAAAACAGACCACACAGCAAAATACAGAAGATAAGAGAAAGGTAAGGAAAGAAGGGAAAAATGAGAAGGAAAGAAAGAAAAGGAAGGAAGGGGATATAGGAGAGAGAAATAATAAGTTACAGAAGGTCAAACAAATGTATTATATTATTCAAATGGGACATCTATTCATTTTTTAAAATCTAGGAGTGAAACAAATGAAAAAATAACAAAGTACATGCTTCTATAAATGAAGATAACTCCCAAGTTAAGCTACTATATAGTAAGAAATACCATTTGCAAACTTCTAGACCACAGAAAATTGGGGGAAAATTTTATCAAACTTATATAAAAAAAGCATTCATATCAATGTTGCATAAATATAGGAAAATATACAACCAATAGAAATGTGAGTAGTGAGTATAAACAGACTATGAATAGAATACAAACTCTAAATAGATTTAAGTGCACATATTCTCAACATCATAAGTAGTTGGGGAAATGCAAATTAAATAAAACATTTTTCATCTAGCAGCGTGGCAAAATTATTTTTAAACTACAAAATAGCCATATTGGTGATGATGTCTAGAAACAGTATTCTCATATATTCTTTACCAATGGTACAGCAAAATATCTATGACACTTTAAAAATATGTATGCTTTGACCATGCAGATTCATTTCCAAGCATATATCTTGAAGAAATATTCTGACATGTAAGCAAGAAGATACATACAAACTGGACCACTGTTGATTATAGGTAAAAACTGGAGAAGACCTCCTAAATGTTTAAATATCCTTAACAGTAAATAATTTAAATAAATTATGTATATTCATATGTTATAATACTAAATAGTCATTAAAAATGAAGTAGAACTATGTGTGTTAAGTTGTCAGGCACACAAATAGGATAAATCACATTAGAAATAATACACTGGACTATATAAAAACTGAAAAATTTTACGTGCCATAATTTTAAAAGACCTAATTAAAATAAAAACTCTTACTGCCATAGGTGAAAAATAGTTTGAGACAATATATCACAGAATTAGTATGCTTATATACATAGCAATCACTGAGACTGTTAAGAAAATATTTAACACACAAGAGAACTGGGTATGAATGACAGACATTTTACAAAAAGATAAAGAGAAAAACCAAATTTACAAAAAAATGTTCAATTTCTTTCATAAAAATTTTAGTGTATAATCTTTCAACAAATAATGAGCACAAGTTTTCATGTAAATAACCAGTGCTTTCAAGATGCAATTAAACTCATCCATCTAATTGTTGCTAGTCACCAAAAACAAACAACTCTCAGAGCCCAGCAGGTGCTCATATCCAGGAATACAGCAATCCCCAAAATGTGTAGTTTTCACTTAACTTGAAAAATCTATTCTATCTTTAACACTAAGAAATGTAAAGCAACCTAACTGAGCAGTGACATACACAATGTGGAATCTACATGAAAAACATGTGAATGCATAACTGAATGTACACTATAATTTCTACTATGTGAAAAATGTGTTTATCCTAACTTAAATGGGTCTAAGGTGTATGTTGTGATAAGGTCATGGTTTTCTATTCTTTTGCCAAACTAAACCATTACATTTTCTACAAACCATTATTTCTATGGAAATTTCCTTTCTTTCCCTTGTGTATCAAGAGGAAAAGATCCTTTACTTCCGCCTTCTTGCAATTCAACTTCTGCCCACCTGTCCTACTAAAACATAGAAGCCATTGGGAACAACATCTCCTTTGTCTCTGTAATGCCCTATTTGAAATTCTGCAAACTTGACTTCATGCAAGCTATCCATAAACATGTCTTATCCTTTTCATTACAGTAATTCACTGATGGTTTACATTTATGTGTAATTCTCCGTTTCCAATCGCCTGCCAGTACTCAGCAGAGTGGCTCAGTCACATAACTTTCAATTGGTGGTTCTCACAGGAATGGATGCATGATGAAAATAATAGGCTATTTAACCATAGAAGAGAAAACCTTTGGAAGTCAGCTCAAAAGTGCATCAGGGTCCGGAAAAGGAAGTGAGTAGATGATACACGTCCCAGTTCCTCATTTAAGGAAGTGAGTGGATGATACATGTCCCAGTGGTCAAGAAAAAAAGGAACTTCAGGGAAATGGGAGTTACTGGAGAGAAGGGGGCAAAGGAGGAGGAAAGATTTGGAAATCCTGGAGTTCAATTTTCTTTCCAGACCCGGAGAGCCTGGTAAAATTTCCTACTGTATATTAGTGAGGATGCAACCTTTTTAATAAAAGCTCTGCTCTCTCTCACAGTGACTTTTCCACATTAGGCTCTCCTGCACTCACCTGATAACAGGCTTCCTGTCAGTTCTTGCTTCACCATCCAGGGCTCCTTTTCTTGCTGTAGTAAAGAGACTAAATCTGGCTTAGCCACACAATGTCCTGCAAAAGTGAAAAGAGAGGAGGTTTGGCCAATACTCTTGCCATCCTAAAATTGAGAACCACTCCTTGTTGATAGAAAAGTGTTACTGCTGAAAGAAGCAGTAAAACAGGTGAGTAGGATCTGAAAGACACAGAAGATAACGCTTTAAGCATAACAAAGACACCATCTTTCACCTCTACAAATGCCAAATTCTTGTCTTAGGAATCCACAACAAAAATTCAGGCCAGCACGTCAGAAGACACTCCCTCCCTCCTCCATAATTCAAAACTGGTTTGAAAATGGAGGTACCCAATGACAGATTCAGATATGGAAGAAAGACATCCTTACCTGCTGATCCCAGGTCACTATGGTTCTCCCATATCCCATTCTTAGAGAAATTCTTCTGAGCTGGGTGTAGCTGCTGGGGGAAGTCAACAGCCAGGTTTTTGATAGTCACCAAGCCCTGCAATGGTAAAAGCACGTTTTTTAAATCAAACCATGTTCATGAACCCACCTGGTCCCAGTGGGATGGACTGTGTCCACACACTGCAAAAAAGGCACTCCATACCAAGAACTGCAACTTAAGTTCTGGTACACCAGGTCACATAATGATAGGGCTTAGTTATAGCATATATGTTTGGGGAAAAACACAGAAAAATAGGAGAAACTTTCTGCTATGGAGAGTTTGTCATACTTACACACAGTATGAACTTACACACAGTAGGAACCTTTTAACACAGACGGAAGGCTTTCCCATATTCATACAAATTATTCAACAAGTCCACAGAGTTTTTCTCTTGTATGAAATCTTTGATGAAAAGGAGGGGTCGATATTCTGCTCAAAGCTTTCTTACATTCATCGCCAAGTCAAACATTTCTGACCTTGACAGATTTGTTTGTAATTCATTACAACTCAGTTTCCCCCTCCACTGTTCTTATGTGTATTGAGATTAGGCACTCTGTTCTGAGGGGATAATCTGTCTATAAGAAGTATTGTATTCAAATGAAAACTTCTCCTATAGTTATTGTAGTCATGGTCTCTTCCCTCAAGAAGAGTTTCCTGATGAAGGATACTTCCTCTTGCCTGAAATGTGTCTTCTGACTTACCGGCTGTGTGTCAAACAGAGCATCATAATCCCAGTGTTCCCCTAACAGGGAGTACTCCAGATTATAGCTTGTGAGTCTCTCTGTTATCACTGCCTGGGATAGCTTTCCTTCACAGAAGTCCTTCTTGAGAGGTAACTCCTTGATCTTCCGCACAATCTTCAAGTCTGAAAGATATAAAGAAGGCGAATATATCTTTTATCGTGTTAGTATGAAGAAAAATTCCAAAATGTAACCATTAAATTAAAAGCCACAAAAAAGCATATGATAGTCACTTATTTTTATGGAAGAAAATGAAAAGCAAATCGTTTTGAAAGCTTTCTTATATTACTAGCAATATTCAACCAACCCTACATTCCTAAATTTGTGTAGCCATAGTCCTAAAGGACACAATAAGACCTTTCCCACCTAAAAGCTGAACAAGAGTTCACATTATGTTTTTAGCAGAAGACTGGAAAAAGCAATTAAAAATCAAGAGATAAGGGAGCTCACAAAAAAAAAATGTATGATAAAATGTCTAATATAAAGAGAAAGTGGAGGCTATAGAAAAAAACTGCTATATGATCCTTATTTCAGCTTTAAGTCAACTCTTTTTCACTGTCCATTTCACCTAGCAAAAATTTCATCTCTATCTCTACGTACCTCCTTTTTTTTTTTTTTATTACAATGCTAACTAATAAAAGTCCAGATCCTGCCCTTAAAAATGTAAGTCTTCATAATTAACTAGTCTCAACAAGAGATGAAGGATCTGCAGGAAGAAAAAACAGTTTTATGTCATTAAACTAGCTCGAAGTATGTGATTTCATATGATGTTAAATTGGAAACTTCACACAAACATTCTTGTTCTCTGATGCCATATACTGACCCATGTGAGTCACTTTAATTTATAACTGTCAGTAACTTGTCCTGGTGTCAATGCAAGCGTTTCCTTTAAATGTGAATTGAACAAAGAAACCTTGTAAGATTCTCAGTTCTTTAGAAACTGTTACCATTTCCTATTAGGATAAAACCTCTGAAAGAAATCTATAATTCTAATTCCTTGTCTTACTTGATAATCTGCTGTTCTAGAAATAAAAGATGTAGTTGAAATTTCTGTATTCCCAAATAGTATAAATAACAGATACTGCAAGAGGCTTAGGAAGAGTCTGTTGAAGATGCTGCGTGTCTGAGGCAGCTGAACTGTGACCAGCAGTGGCCTCACCCTACCTGGTTCTCCCACACTCACCTGGACACCAGGCTCTTGTCATTTTTCTCTTCACTGTCCAAGGCTCTTTTCCTTGTTCCAATGAGGAGATCACATCGGGCTTAGAAACACAAAGTCCTAGACACATAAAAAACAACCTGGTCACATACTGTGTGGCTGTCCAGACTGAGATGCAGTCCCCTTGGCTTGACGCGAGAGGGCAGTGCAGGTCTTGGTGATAAAGGCATGAAAGGCTTCTAGGTCAAGGAAGTGGGTAGGGCGAGGGGTGGAAAAAGGAGTGGGAGCCCTTACCCAGCGATGCCAGGTTCCTGTAGTTCTCCAACATCACCTTCCTGTATAAGTTCCTCTGATTGGGGTTCAGCCACTCCCACTCCTCTTGGGAGAAATCTACGGCCACATCCCCAAATGTCACCAAGCCCTGAAATGATATAACCATGTTCTTGCTCAACCAGTGCTCATGCCCCGACATGACTGAGGGGCTGTTATAGAAAGAAATGTGTCCCCCGACAAAACTCCTACATTAAAGTCCTATTCCCCAGCACTTTTGAATGTGACTGTATTTAGAGACAGGGCCTTCAAAGAGGTAATTAGGGTTAAATGAGGTCATATGGGTGGGGCCCTAACCCAATCTGACTGGTGTCCTTATTAAAATAGGAAGAGATACCACGGTGTGCAGGCACAGGGAAAAGGCCACGTGAGGACACAGGGAGAAGACGGCCGTCTGCAAGCCAAGGAGAGAGGCTTCAGGAGAAACCAAACCTGCAGGCACCTTGATCTTGGACTTCCAGCCTTCAGAACCTTGAGAAAAGAAATTCCTGTTGTTTAAGACACCCACTCTGTGGTATTTGTTCTGGCAGCCCTAACAAACTAATATAGGGGTCTAAAGATTCCTTGTCTTCATTTTGAGTAAGAGACTATAAACTCAGTACTCTGGAGATCTAGTTAGGTATTATACAGCTAGCCTCATTCTGTCTTAAACTCCAGGGAAAAGAGAAAAATATGGAGACAGCCCCTGCCTTTGGAGAACTTGCAGTTTTGTGGAGTGAAAGGAGGCAGCTGCAAGAAAAACCCCTGACATCAATTCAAAACTATAAATAACGAAGACTAACTTGTTCTATGCACAATAGGTACTACAGCACTGTCCAGCATGGGGACATTTGAGTGGCCTGAAGCAGCATAAGAATGGGGCAGTAAACTTGAGATGAACCTCAAAGCATCAATATTATTCATGACTAAACTGGGTTCTAAGAATTTCTATTTTTACTGTTAGTGTTCAGTAGAGGTTCATTTAAAAAAATCTAGCAATATTCTTTTTCTAAAATGAATATGTAATAAGAATGAAAAACACTATAATGTTTTAAATTAATGAAATGCTTTTAAGAACCAAGGTGCCGTGTTGGAGAAGCTAGGCATTACGAGGAGCTATCAGGAGCACGTTTGCTAACAGCTCAGCATGAGCAGGATTTTCCTGACCGACGGGCAAGATGGGCTGCTCAGCTCCTGCTGGCAGATTTTTATGCAGCGTAGTTTTACAGTTTCAGCCTACAACTCTGATACGTTCCAATGTATTTTAAACATTTATTCAGTTGCAACTCTAATCCCAGGAACCTGTGGCTAACAGAAGGCAGATTTAAATGACTAGCAGCTGTGAGATTTTCCAAGTCTAAACTTAAATGAACATGAAAAACAGTTGGATTACCCCAAAAGCTGAATTACGAAACCTCACTTGGTTACCTAATGCCTCTGTGCCTCAGTTCCCCAGCTATAAAATGGAAAAGGCAACAATACTAACCTTATAGATTACGTTTTGGATTAAATGAGGCAATACATACACAGCACTTAGAACGTGCAAGGCACAATGGAAGCATGCAGTGAACATGAGTTATGATGATGCTGACTGTCATAACTCTCATTCATAGGGATGCTCCCTCTGCTTGTCACCCTTGACCTGTATGTTTTCAGGCAGTCCTCGCCCAGTCCCCATTTGTATGTTCTAGATAGAAAAGGCCCCATACTATGAACTGACCACTGTACGTCTGCATGAAGCCTGGTGAACCTGATAATGTAAACTTCAAGTTCCCTTACTGAGCCTTGAGCTCCCTTCAAAGTATCCAAGCCAACCCTGTCTTGGAAAACACACCTAGATGATGCCCTGGACCCCAATAAAAGCTCCAGCCCACAGGTCCCTCCCTCCCTCTTGGTCCCCACCCTTTGGCTGGGCATGTGTGTCTTGAATGTCTCTGGGCCCTTCCAGTAAGCCCTGCAAGGTGTGCTGGTCACCGTTCTCTGGAATCTGCGAGTAATAAATAATCTTTTTGCCATTCTGCTCTGACTGTCCCTCACCATGCTGCATCTGACTACACAAAACCTAATTTAAATACCTCACTTAACAAACCACAACACCAACCAAAAGCTGAACCTTTTAAAGATTCACATTATTCTCCTAGAAACAAAAGTCCCTTTGAGGTTTGAATTTCTGCTGAATAATATACAATCACATGTTCTTTAACCTGCTACCAAACTTTAAGGACATTTTTAACTGAATTGTGTAAAGATAGGTCAAAAAGGTTTTGTAAGTGATATCCCGATTTGAGTGAAGATCAACTGCAGAGGCAGTGGAATCAGTCAACTGCAGAGCTACACTCTCGATGGTAAACTCATGATGGAGAAATCTCCTAAGCTGGGGACTGAAAGGCCCCCTGCAGTGTAAACCACGAGGTAATACTTGCAGGAAACAGCCAAGAACTGCTTAATGTCCTTGAGCAAAAGACACACTAATATGGCTACCTGAGCAAGCTAGTCTAAAACAAATGCTGGTCAGCTCTCAGCAATAATTTTGCAAGTTGAAGCATCTTGGCATAAAAGAAGAGGAACTTATTTGCTTGCCAAGAAGAATCAACCCTAGTTTCCCAGGTTGATCCTGTTTATGCATTAGTGATCTGCTTTTGTATCAGTGGTTTGTTAAATGCCTTCAATTTAATCATGTACGGGGACCCAACTTTAGCAACATACATACATCCTCCTAAGACATTTTCTGTTTTTTTCGGACAGCTCTTTATGTACAGAATCAATGACTTTTGTTTTAAAAATGTCTTTTACTATAAATAACAGCAATAACAATAGCTGAAAGCACTTACAACACTTCAGACACTATTCCATATACTTATATATTAGCTTATTTAATCCTCACATTGATCCTAATAGTCAGTACTATTACTATTCCCATTTTACAGATGAGGAAATACTGAGCTGTAACATGCCCAGGATCACAGTCAGTCAACTGTAGAGCTGGGTTTTGAACCCAGGAGTCTGACTCCACAGTCCATGCTCTTAACCTCCACTTCAGGTGTCAGCAAAGTGTTTCTGTAAAGAGCCAGAAAGTAAATATTTTAGGCTTTGTGGGCCACATGGCCTCGGCCACAACTCTTCAATTTTGCCACTGTAGCACAAAAGCAATCACAGATAATATATAAACAAACAAGTATGTTGTGCTACAATGAAATTTTTTTTATGGACACTAAAATGTGACTTTCATTTAATTTTCACGTATTCTTCTTTTGATTTTTTTCAACCACTGAAAAATGTAAAACTCATTTGTAGCTTGTGGGCCACACAAAAGGAGGTGGTGGTGGGCTGGATTTGGCCCATAGGCCATAATTTGCCCAGTTCTGTCCTATATTACACACTTTTTTTTTAAAGTACGCCATCTAAGTGTCTTGCCTGTAAATTTCTAAAACCGTCATGGTGACATGAGGATGCTGCCACCTAACACTAGTAAGTCCTTACTGTGTGCCACGTACCTCGTTTCAGGCACTATACACAACTTAATCCTTACAAGAACTGCTTGAGGCAGGTCTAATTATTTTCCTCATTTTATAGATGAAGAAAATGTGGTCACTTGAGTTGCCTGAAGGTTATGCAGTGATTAGATGCTAGAGCTAGCATGTGAACCTAGTCCATGACCTTTGACCACTTTGCCATTCTACTTCTATTAAAACTTCCCACTCTGATAATAGCAGTAATACTTAGTATCCATTCACCCTGACAGTGAAACAAGTTCCAGGAGAAAACACGTTTTCAGATAAAAATAAAAAGAACTTTCCCTAACTGATGTCTCCATCAACCTACTTAATTTAGATGGAGACAAAACATTGTCAAATGTGCAGGTCCTGTTCTTATTCCTGTTGCTGCAACATAAATATGCAGACTTCAAAACGGGTTTCACATTTTTACACTATACCACAGAGGAAACATTATACAGGCACAGAATCTACTCCTGATATAGGCATCTGATGTAAGTTAACTCATCTTAATACACATATGAACTGGGTATGGTGGCACATGCCTATAGGTCCAGCTACTCAGAAGGCTGAGGCAGGAGAATTCCTTGACCCCAGGAGTTTGAGGCTGTAGCACACTACAGTTGTGCTGAAAATAGCCAATATACTCCAGTTGGGACAAAACAGTGAGACTCCCATCCCTTAAAAAAAATTATATATACATATACATATATAAAAGTATATATACATATACATATAATATATAATAGATGTAATATATATTATATATGTATGCATATTATATATGTATGTAATATATGTGTATAATTTATATGTATATATGTGTGTATGCATGTGTTTATATATAAAATATATATAATTATATATGCAAACACATTACATATATTCTGTATTATATATACATATATTACATAATCTATACATATATACATATCATATATAAACACACACAGACACACGAAGATAGAGACATTAAAAGAATACAAACCAACAAAAAATAAAAGCAACTTTACACTTACAGAAAAATATTTCTGTTGAAATTTCATAGAAAAGAATGAACAGGAAGTACTTTATAGAAAAAATACACTAAAAAGATTTGTTTCAATTCAATTCAGTTAACTTTTGAAACATATGAATAAACATTTATTTGGTAATAACTATTTTTCCTCATGAAGTGTACATTTTTTCAAAGCATGCATTTTTCAAAGCATGAATTATAGCTTTTGAGGCACCACTGCTGTTCTATCCAAAATAATAATTTTAGAAGTATTCTGATTTCACATAAGCTTAGGAAACCTTAATCCATGAGGAAAGAAAAACTTCTAGGAATGTATTCACACAAAATAATCAGGGGCTGGGCATGGTGGCTCACACCTACGATTCCAGCTCCTTGGGAGGCCAAGATGGGAGGATTGCTTGAGGATCCAGGGAAGTCCTGTTCTTATTCCTGTTGCTGCAACATAAACATGCAGACTTCAAAACGGGTTTCACATTTTTACACTATACCACAGAGGAAACATTATACAG